AACAAGGGAGAGTGAGCCGGTTGCCAGTAGTGAGTTGTTCCTGGATGCACGCACGCCATCGAAGAGCTAATAAGCATCAGGAACAATTACGCAATTACAGGAGGTAATTGCACTCAGCTGGTGGTCATTAGGCTCCTCTCCAGACTATAAAAAGGCTACTTGTGCACACGCCCCTCTTTGCGGAAGTCAACACAGAATCGAATGTCGGAGAACAGTGTATGAGCTTGGCAGGCTGGATTGCTGGGGGATGCTGCCAATGATGGTGCCAAGTGTGAAAAACCATAACACCTCCATTTATTGAGTGCAGTTATAACTTGGAATGTCTCTAAGCAAATGTAGGTAGTTGAGGACCATCTCTATTATTTCCCACCTCCCAGCCCTTTTTCCTGACAGTCCCCACTTTGTCTCATCCAAAGATGGCTACCTGGTTTTGTCACCGCCTGCCAAAAGCGGCGGGAGCACGGGGACATCGTGAGCGGGCGTGCCCATCCCCATAATTCTATGCCACCTCCCCCCATGCAACTTCCGCTTTTGGCACATGGTGGCATGGAGGACCCGTTTTTCGTGCTCCCCAGGCTCCACACCCATTTTAGGAGCCTGGAGAAGGAAAAAAAAGACCTTCGGCACCCCACCCCCCGGAGGCCGCCTTCCGGTTGCACCTGAGGGCCAGTTTTTTTACTCTCCCCAGGTTTCAGACCCTTTCTAGGAGCCTGGGCAGGGTGATAATGGCCTTCCCACACTTGAAGGCCCTCCGGAGGCCAAAAACAGCCTGTTTCCTGACTTCTGGTGGGGCCAGAAGGCCCCCAAATCAGCTGGTTGCCATGCACATGCGCGCCAGAGCGGAGCTCACGTGCCCACCAATATGGCTCCACGTCAGTGGTGGGTTGCAGGCGGTACGCCCTGGTACGGGCGTACCAGAGCCTGCCTGGAGCACCGGGTACCATTCTGGTACCGTGCTCCGGAGGGCTTGCCCGCCCACCTGAGCTCCTTACCTGTCCTTTAAGCCTTTGGCGCTTCCACGCATGGCACATACAGTGTCTGCGCGATGCTCCACCTAGGATCCGGAACTGACCACTGCTCCGCATGCCACCTGTGGCCTGCGTGCCACAGGTTCGCCATCATGGGTCTAGTCCAGTGGATCTCAACCTTCCTAATTCCCCGACCCTTTAATACAGTTCCTCATGTTGAGGTGACTGCCAACCATAAGATTATTTTATGTTTTCCGTATTTTTTCAAAAATATGTGTTTTCCTATGGTCTTAGGCGACCCCTGTGAAAGGGTCGTTCAACCCCCAAAGGGGTCCGGACCCACAGGTTGAGAACCACTGGTCTAGTCTATTGTCAGACATAAGTCCCACCGCCACTCAGAATCACGTAATTCATGAAAACACGGTGGCACAGAGAAAGGGCCTCCCCGCTCTCTGCAAAAATGAGATGGAGGCGTGTTTAATTAAAACCAATCGTCATTGTCAGATTAATGAATAAATGGGACGCCCAGCCCTGCCAGCTGCCGCGGAGGACGGAATTAAAATTTAATCTCCCACTGAATTATTGAACCAAACGGAAAGCTGATCTCATAACCGGGACAATGGCGGGGCTCGGTGGGAGCTGGCCTGCAGGCATCAGGACGATGCTGCCTTATTATAAAGTCCTAAGGCACCGTGTTCCTTATCCCTCCATTCTGGGAGTTAATGCTCTTCACATATTTGGAGGGATTTTGAATGTGGGTATCCCAGGAGAGCAGCCGCTGCTGCTTAATGCAGATTAGTTTGTTTACGCTAAAATCCACAAGGCTTCGGAGAGCTCCATTCAATCAGACAAGAGAAGGAAAAACAACAGACAGACAGCTTATTTAACCAATGCTTCAGACTGCCAAGATTTTCACTTCTATCCAGCCCACAAGTCGGCAATCTTAGACACTCAAAAGAGCCACAAAGATCCTAACTGGAAACCCCCCGTTCAATTCTGGAGACAACCGGAAGTTCGGTTCCCACATCATAGAGTCTCCTCCTAGCGCGGCGTCCTTTTTACCTCTACCTGTCCTAACCAAAAGCCCTATCCATTGTGGAGCTGTACGGCGACAGGGAGCTGCAGCAGAGGGATGAAAGAGCCACATGCGGCTCCAGAGCCGCAAATTGCCAACTCCTGCTCTAGCCTCAAAGCCCTTGGAGAAGGGGAGAGAATTCACAAGTTGAAATAGAGAACCTAAAAACTATTATGAACATATTTTTTTTTGTTTAAAAAGTAACAATCAGTGGAACGACTTCCCTCCAGAAGTTGTGGGCGATCCAACATTGGAGATCTTTAAGAGATTGGACAACTGAAAGGGTGTAGGGTTTCCTGCTTGAGCAGGGGGTTGGACTAGATGACCTCCAAGGTCCCTTTCAACTCTGCTCTTCTGTCAAACTTGGTTGTTGCCAGAATGATAACAGGGTCAGCTCTTGATGAGGAACTATGTGGAAGCTCACGGCAGCAGGCCAGGATGTGAG